TGCATGCATGCAGGATTAATGTTCACAACCAAACTACATGTCCGAGTTCAGATATATGCAAGAATCAAAAAAGGGGCAAAGATAATGTTGGGTCCTGCGGAGGGTGAAATAATGGAAGCGTGTGATATATGTTTTGGGGAGGGAAAAGTGATAGGAAAACGAGATTCCACCGAACACGTTGGAGTATGTATGAGTGTTTATTCTCTAGTGCGTGCTTTATGGGATGCTCTGTTGGCTCTTTGTGCCTTGCCTTTTTCGGAGCCTTAGAATCATCTCCCACCCGCTCCTGCTGCATCTCATCTCGTCATCCTCACTTGCCCCTCCTCCCTACCCTATCTTCTTTCTCGGATCTCGTGTCACTGTTTTTTATTTACTCTTGTTGCCATGATTCATGAGCTTCCCAGAAATCCAACTTCCCAACAAAGATAAGTAAATAAACCAGAACGAAAGGGGCAAACCCTTCAACAACCTGAAAACAGTGAAGGCGGCGAGGGAAAATATTTTAAGCTACGGAGATTGGTACGGTAAATTATTGAATTCTTTGACAGTTTTGTTTGATAGATACTGCCTCTAATTCTGATTAAAAGACTTTATTTGTGGACATTATAAACAAAACAAAGTATTATAATTAAGACTGAAAGTATTATTATTTTGGTTAACGTGGGGAGCGCGGGAAGCTTTCGAAAACCAATTAATGAGGCGATGGAGTTGAGTCAACCATAATTAGCCAGACGATTCTAGACGGGAAGAGGGTGAGGAAGGCTCATGAGAAACTGCATTATCCTGGTCAACTGCCTATTTCTCCGCCGCCACTGCGTGTCACTTACTGCCGAGGTCTCACATGTTCCGATGCTCCGCCTCTCTATTTCCACGCTCTCTGCTTCAACATCCAATTTGTTTGACCTTAGCTTCCAAATAAAATACAAGTCCCCATATATCAACTATTAAAAACGAATTCCCCTCGAATTTTCGTTTGAATTGGCTTGCTTTATTTTACAAAACACATAATCCGATCCACAAGTCAGTGTGTCTGTCCCTAACTTCCGATATACGTATACAGACTAATATTTTAATTAGTTTTGAATTCATCACAAAACAAACAGAATTTTTTATTTCACTTGTAAATGATCTATAGAATATGATTCATATAACAGCTGTCCTAATTGGCCAATTAACACAGTCCATCCACAGCAATCATCATTTTCTACTCTCTCCTCCTTGTTTGGTATTTTTTTTACCAGTAATTCGTATAATAGTTCTATAAATATAATTAATACTCTACTATTTCATTACAATTTTGAAGTGATCACTACTTTTAAACAAAATTAAAATACTAAAGTGTCAACTATCTTAAGTGTAAGAATTATTATGTTCTACTCTGCTGGTTTTATTTGCAGGGCATGTATATATGTTCAAAGTAAAAAAAAAATAAAAATTAAACTGTATTAACTCCTTCTTAAAATATGACAATTTTTTAGTTATATTCCTGTTTGATATATATACTACACATTTTAAGAAAATAACTATATTCATTGTAAGACATAAAAACAAAGTAGTAGATGCTAAAAAATTTTCCATGCATGAGAAAGAAGAGCGCGCCAGTCTCCCCACAATGAACGAGAGGACGTGCGTTACTGCATTGTATTAATAGGCTAGAAGTACATACGGAGCTCCAGATCAGACAACTGAAAAATAACAAGAAAATTCGTCTACATTAAACACCCAAGGGATTATTTGTTTTTTTGTCAAACACAGGGGATTATTTTTTCATGACCTAAAATTATGAAAAAAACCTTATAAATGAGCTGTTCATTCATTTGATTAACAATATAGATGGGAGCTTTGGCGTGATTATTTAATGGTGCGCTCAATTTTCGCGTGTATTCATATGTGAAACACATCTCTCTTTACACGACGAAAATATGATGTGAATTAAGGAGACAAAACATCGTGTGTTAAACTGGCAATAATTCAAAACGCAAAGTATGCTATTTTTTTCCCTATAAGTGAGTTACCTTAAATATTGGATAAATGAGGCGATGCGATACAGGGGGCAAGAATTTCTGATCCTGCCATTGAGGCAAGACCACTCTTTCCAAACAAAATGTAGCACAGTAAAGAACCAGAATATGAAATATATGGACCAGTGGACGCAGCACACCAAAAGGTCACAGAATAACATTATGTATTATGGCGGTTTTCACTCTGGGAAGATTGATAGCAGCTGAAGGCCTCAAAGGTGGGTCGAGTTGGGCGAACGAGACAAAGTAATTCCCATTATATATATGTTAAATACAAAGTTCAAAGCCGGGACAGTTAATGAGATGTACTAGTGCTATGTATATCAATATAGAAATAGGCAAATAGCCCCACTGCAGGGGGGCCCTGCCTTTATTACCCATTCATCCCATCAGGCCTCTCCTTTCCGGGGACGCCTTCAATTCGTTCGCTCACAAATATAAAACCCGCCCCCTCCTCGACCTCTCTCGTATCTATTTACATGACAGGGAGAAGTTGTTCTGGTTTCCTTCCATTGTCTTCCATTCTTTTAATTGCTTCGATTTAATTAGCTTTCGAGATGGCTCTCCTTACTTCCTTGCCCGAACAGTCAGATTCAGGTCCCGACTCACAAGTCCCAAAGCGCAAGCGAAATAAGCCGCAGAAGAAGCAGAAACCACCGTCTTCATGGGACCAAATCAAGAATCTCCTCACCTGCAAACAGATCCAAGGGTCGAGAGTTCACGACCCCTCCAAAAACCCCACCCCAGTGGGCTACTCCAAACTAGGATCTTCTTGCAGCTCCATCTGTAGTTTCAAAGACGTTGTTCACGGCAACACACGCGTTGTTCACAGGCCTGATAACTCCTCGCCGGAGAGCAGTGCTCTGGGTCAGCAAGCCGGGTTACTGAGCCGGAAGCCTCCGAATAACTCGTCATCTCGGTCGGCCAAATCCAACGGCGCTCCAAACGGCACTACATGTTCTAGAGGGATGCAATTCAGGAAACTCTCCGGCTGTTATGAATGTCGCATGATTGTTGACCCTTCCAGGTAGTTAATATATGCGAGACCCAGTATTAATGTTAAGATTTTCATTTAATTTCCATGTCTCCAGTTCGTTTCAATTGGAATGCTATTCATGATGTCATGAGAAAAATTGCAAATTGTGGAAAGAAATTAATATCAACATTGGATTGAAATATCAGGCTCCCGATGCCGAGAAGCACTCTATGTTCTTGCCCTCACTGTGGAGAGTTCTTCCCTAAGATGGAAAGCTTGGAGCTTCATCAAGCTACTCGCCATGCCGGTATATCATCACTCTTTATCCTTCTTTATTTTCCCTTTTCTTTTTGACCATTACATGCATCAGTCATTTCTTTTAATATTAAACCACTACTTCCACTTTCACCCGACATGTTTGCATTTCGTTACTTAGTTTTGTGGTCGATATTCCATAAAGCGCTCCTCGACAAGCAGGACCCTCTAATAATTACTCAAGTTCTCGTTCCTAAACAAAGTGTTGCTTGTTTCCCCTTAATCCGTTGTCATGATGGGGCGTGGTTTAGCTTTTGAGGAAAAGAAAATTTGCACTGCGCAATGAAAATGGAAACTTGGAGACAAAAAGGACTCCACCATCCCATGCATGTCATCATGAAAGTGGGTTGCCTGGGAACTTTATCCTGGCAATCTTGCGCAAATCCATTCCATTTCTACGGATAATGATAAACATATTTCCCTAATTCTCTCACCAAAGTATACAAAAAATCAATAAATATAAAGACTGGAAGATTTTATTTTATTTTCCTGAGAGCTCATCATTTACCAAATATAACCACCACTCCACCAGCAATCACAACAGAGGCAATATATTCGCCAGTCGCATTAGTGGGAGCTTCAAGGTCTTCGCGCCAGATCACAGCTGTCTGTGCTGTGAGGAAATAAATGATCTGAGTCCATGAGGTGGCGGAACTTCGTGACTGGCCCTCAAAAATACTACAGTTAGAAAGGCCACCGATAGCCCCGTAAAAAATGTAGTAGACTGCTACCCGTCTTCTATACCTATTTTTAATTTTTAATTTTTTTCTTAGGTTAGTGGGAATAATAAACTGAAGCTTACTATGCTGCAATTGTCATTTGGTCAACAGTTTCAGAGCTGGGGCCGGAGGATTCGGGTCGAAATATTGTGGAGATAATATTCAAGTCAAGCTGGCTGAAGAAGGGCAGCCCCATCTGTAAGATCGAGCGGATACTCAAAGTCCACAACACCCAGCGCACCATCCAACGGTTCGAGGAGTGCCGAGACGCAGTGAAGAGCCGTGCTCAGTACAGCGTCAAGAAGAACCCCAGGTGCGCCGCCGACGGCAACGAGCTACTGCGATTCCACTGCATCAGCCTCTCATGCTCCTTGGGTGCACGTGGCTCCTCCTCCTTGTGCGGCTCGCTCCCCGGCTGCGGTGTGTGCACCATCATCCGCCACGGCTTCCAGGGCAAGTCTGATAGTGCCGGTGCGGCTGAGCAGCCACACTGCAAAGGAGTGCGGACCACGGCCAGCAGCGGTAGGGCCCACGACGCCTTGCAGTGTAACGATACTAGGAGGGCGATGCTGGTGTGCCGTGTCATTGCCGGGAGGGTGAAGCGCGTGGCGGAGGAGACTCCGGCGGAGGAGGAGACCGTATCGGCTGGGTCTTATGACTCGGTAGCCGGGAGCGCCGGGGTCTACTCGAATCTCGAGGAGTTGGTAGTGTTCAATCCGAAAGCTATCCTTCCTTGTTTCGTCGTGATTTACAAAGTGATGCCATGTTGAGGAAGGTCACCGTTATTGAGAATCAGAGATCGGATGTACTTTCTGGTCTGCTACACCCGCCTCCTCTGCTCCCGCATAAAGCCGGGGTGGACAGTGGACCCTACTGTTTGTCTAATGTGTACAGTGCTATCTCTTGCTGTAGGATGTACGCTGTAACAAAATCTCCCCCGTTTTTTTTTTTTAATGAGTTTTGGCCAACTGTTTAACTGCACGCAGGCGCGTGCTTTTCAATATATAGTAGTACGTGCCAGTTTCATGGCTTCACTTAATTTATTTAGGTTGAGTGAAACTGTGAAACTGGATTTTTCTTCCGGGCATTAATTGTGGGCACTGAAAACTTGGATTGTTCACGTGATAGAAACAGCAATCCCATAAATAAGTGGGGCTTGCCACTGCAGACTCACGCAACGCAATTGCGAGGCTTAAATGTTCATTCGGCAACTCGCTCTTCCCTGGAAGCAGTTGGAGCCCTCTCAAGTCTCAACCCTGTTGCTCTGTTAGAAAAGGGCGCGTGTTTGGATTCTTGAAAAATGCCAATCTGAAATAAATTAGTGTTGAATACAATTACCTAAAATACTCCTATCTGAGGTGTAACATCAACTTATCAAGGCCGATGTGAGAGCTGGTTATTATTATTGTCCAGCTGCTTGTGGGTATGAACGTAAAGAATGTATAGATGGAAACGTAATTATACGGTCAAAGTGGCTGCATAATCTGTAATAATTGAAAGGCAGGAGAGGAGTTGAAGTATTTTGACCGAACGGCGCTTTTCATAACAAGGCACAATGAAGAATATGGCTTTTGCCCCTCTTGTTTTATTTCTTCTTGAGTGGAGTCTTGGAGAACACGAAGATTATGATTGCATACATATGGGCCATCACATGCAGGTTCGCTGTTTTTTTCTTAGCGTCCCTGGCATTTGGACTTTAGGGGACACCGATATACACTATACTCATATATAAACCGTTTCAGCGAATCCAATATCCCACCGTATATGTGTTGTTTGGCCAACAACTAATTTTTTGAGAAAATATCCCACTACACTAGGGACACTGGACGTGCAGTGGTTGGTCTCGTTTCAAAATCATAAATTAACAGCAAGGTTCAGTTTGAACTCGGGATCACAGAATAATACTCCCTCCGTTCCTTATTATAAGAGACAAATAACCGAAGTACGTTGATCAAAAAAACAGTTAAAATTAGTTAAGAACAATTAATGTGTAAAAAGTATAACTTTTTTCCAAAAATGCCCTCATTAATAAGGAGAGAGAGCATGAGAGAGAATAATTAATTATTAAGAGAAGTGGGAGGGAGAGAGAGTGTGAGTTGGAGATAATAAATATGGGTAAAATAGTAAATTAACACAAAAAAGTAGAGACAACTTGTAAGTGTCTCTTATATATAGGAACATGCCATAAGCATCAAATGTCTCTTATAATAAGGAACGGAGGGAGTATATTGCAAATAGAACCGTTTTGTGGAGGATGCACGTGTTAGAATAACTTTAATTCGGGGTATCGCGCGACTTTGCTTCACAGTGGAGCTACCGTGAAATCGAGGTATCTACCATCATTGCGGAACGGAAGCCTCATGGCATACATTTCAAGATTCTTTCTTACCGGCACGTAAAGTAGCTAGGAAGTAATTTTCTGAGCGCGCGGACTTTTAAATGGTTCGAGTTTGCAGGTGTTAAACAAGACGAAGAAACGAAGTCCCTCTAATGGATTTCCTAATCTACAAATAAAAATGAATCAAAGGCTGCAGGAGAATTACTCTTGGCTTCACCTACGGGTAATCTTATTTTTCTTTCAAAGCCCACTCGTCTAGTTCCGGTGTGCGAACCATATTTGTTTTGCACACCCGACCAATTTAAGCCCCCCTTTTTACCACGGTACTTTTTTTTTTTTGGGTGTAACTGAGCAAGGATTCGTTGAGCGGAATATGGGGAAAATAGAAACAGAAGTTGATTCAAGGACCTATCAGATAGATTAATGATATTTAAAGATCTAAGAAAACAATAATTGAATGAAGAAGTAATATTACGATTGGGAAAAAGTTTCAAAATTATTACTATTATTTCCTTTAAAAACTACTCCTATGACTTAATTAGTCCTTGGATACTGTAAAAGTGTTTAGATATTGTAATAACAAGTCCGAGTGACAACTTTGAAAAAACAGTTAGTAATATAATAAACCCAGAGGCAAGCATGACAAGCAATTTTTTTTGCTAAAACATAGATATCCTCTTATTAGAAGTAATTCTATTCGAAACATTATCGGAAACTAAATGTAGACCCTTCTTTAAACAGAGACTCAAACCTTGGTTTCTTATATTGTGAGGAACTAATCCCTTCTAGACTTCTACTTGACCTATCCCTGTAGGTGCATGAGAAGTAACTTTGTGAACCGTGAAATGTCCTAGGATTGTAATTTCGGCCTAATTAGGTCTCAATACTGGGCTGAGCCCAATATGCATGCTGTGCGTTGGGATAGAATTTGAAGTAGTGGAAGCGTGCGTGCTTCTGATTTTGGAGGAAAAGCCAGGCCTAAGCCCCACGAAATCAAGCCACGTGGCGGGAAGAAATGATGGTTGACAGGTAGGGCCTTCGTGCTCCATCCAACTTAACATGAGGAATTGCAATCTGGTTCATATATATATATATATATATATATATATATAATTATCTTAAAACGTTAACGGTGAAAGAGCATACCCTGGCGGAAAGCCTAGCCATCCTTGGTCCTACACTGCGGTTTGCGAAAAAGGGGAAAATTTTCTTTTAAAAAAAAAAATTTCTACTAAAAAAAGTTAATCATCAGAAGGAAAAAGGGCGGTCAACTCTAAACATGCCAAACCGAAAAGAGTGATAGTTGAGAAAAAGCGTGACAGGGAGCTCACTCTAGCATTATGCTTTTGGAAAACTGACGTGAAAGCCGAGAGGATTGAATTAGAAACAGCTAGGGAATTAGGTAGGCGTAGCCAAATCATTCGCGATAACGTTGGACATGTCGGATGGGTTCCACTTCCACTCATGTCCCAGAATAAGGATTTTCCGGAGATTCGTCAAGGTTTTATATATCAAACGCCGGGGTCCATCATCATTAACTCCTTTCCACTAACCAATGGGTGGCCTGTCAAAAGCTCCACCCGAACAACTCAAATTAGGAGGACCAAGCCGAGATGTTGTGCTCCTGATTTCCATTTTAATTAGATCGTAATCCAGAAAGCTGCTGTAACCAACCCCGTTTGGGAAAACAGGAGAAGCCCATGCCAATGATGTGGCCACATGGGCGCTGCTTTAACTTTAAGGCCCTCCAGAATGGAATATAATCGCAGGCTCTCTCAAAGGCTGGCCCTTTAAAAGATGAACGGCACTCATCATGGCATTTCACTTCCCAGGGCGAAGCTGGTGACCATGCAGCGCAATCCTCAAACGGAGAGCTTCGTCATACCAGTCATCATAGACGCACAAGAGCCGCTTCACGGCCACACGAGCCCTCACCCTCACTGCAACCTTCCTCCTCTCAGCTTCAACCTCACCTTTTCGACCATGAAGCTCTTCACCCGCTTCCGCAAGATCCTCGCGCGTCTCCTCCTCCTCTCCGGAAAGGCTTCTTCTGCTCATAAGCACCAACACAACGACCGTTTTGACCCTCCAAAGACCTCCTGCAGCTCCTATTACTCCTCTTACTCCCATTACAACGAGGCCATTTCCGACTGCATTGAGTTCTTCAACAAGTCAGCCCAAGACGGCTACCTCCAGCCTCGTCACTCCGATGTCGTCTGACCTTCTCAGATAAGGCTGCCACGTGGTTCGTTCCTTTTGATTTATTCTCATTTATTCATTGTATACGAGTCTCAATATCAATTCGGCTCCTCTATTTCATTGTGCTTCTTTTGATTTTCCTCCCTCCTATCTATAACGCTACCACCGCTAACTTTCCGGTTTCCATTTTTTGTATAAAAAAAATCCCTGATCAATGGTCTGCTTATCTCGTTTTATTTTCATCCAAAAAGCTTGCAGCTTAATTTACGCAAGCAGAAATAGCGAAAAAGAACCTGTGGTTGCCATAAGGTCAATGATCGCTGGTTCGGTAAAACCGTTTATTCACTATTATTCGCGCTTGTTAGATGATGATGAAGGACCAGATCCAACCGAGCAGCCATTTATAATTCCAGGGTCAAATGAGTAAAAGAGAGGAAGAGAAGTAACGAAAGGATTCAGCAACTGAAAAGAGAACGAAATCCTTCAATAAGTTTGAACAACCACTTGGAACTTCGTACCTGGAAATTATGCGCATCTATATCACTTTAATGGGCTCTTGCAAGTGTAAATGTTCTTCTCTAGCTATGTCCATATAATCCGTGAGTTGGTTCACTGTTTGTGATAAAGCATCCTGAATATACGCCTTCAGCCTCATACCATATTGAGCGTGTTTACACTCATTTTGATTTACAGAATAAGGAGGCGTAATTAATTGTCAGTACCTATGTTATGTAAGAATATAACAAAAACAATTGAAAAGGCAACGAAATTTAATTTGCATGTAATAATGGTGCGTTATTAATACAAGACTCTTAATGTGCGTCTCCGCTGACACGGTCCTCTCACTTGGGCGGAATATGTTAAAGGGTAGCGGCTAGTATGATACAAAAAGTAAATGAAGAAAAGAATGTAGAGCACAGGTGAAAACATAGTACGTAAAAAGTATTGAAAGTAAGCTCAGGCAACTTGAGGGTGAGCCTTTTTCCTGGAGAAGATGCTAATGAGGGGAATCAAAGGGTTCTTCTTCTTCCTCCTGAGAGAAGGATGCCTCTCCAGCTTCTCAGGTCCCTGTGGGTGAATGACATGAGCTACAGAGGGAGGATTCGCAAATGTGACGTACCTTTTCTTTTGAAACTCCACCCTCTCCTGCTCCGACTTGCTCATGTTTTCAACAAACTTGACGTCTTCGATCTCGCATTCCACTGCATGCTTCTCCTCGTTCTCCCGTTGCTTCAACTGTCGGAGTTCTTGCTTCGTACGTTCCAGCTCTTCCTGCAGAGACGCCAGGCAATGCGCCATTAACATGCTTTCCTCTCTCGCCCTCTCCAGATTCTGCCTCGTCTCCTCTAGCTCTACTGCCACTCTTCCCAGCCTCGATGACTCTTCCATCCCATTTTCATTCCCTCCCCTCTGGAACTGCATTTATGTGCATCATAATCAGATTCTCATACTGGTTCTATTTTCAATAACCAGCACAGCAACAAACCAGATATTTTGACAGCCTCTCAGGGCTTCCTGCTACGTGATGTCATTGATAGATAAACTGACAATGTAAGACAATGATTATGGGGGTGAAGTGAAGTGTCAGAGTTGTTTCAATTTTTAGTTTAACTAGCACCTACCCCTGCACCGACAATTATTTATGCAGGACTATCTCATTTTTAATGATACGTATAGATCGATTTTGCAATTACATATTCCTAAAGAAGTGATGATAAAGCTACTCCTCATCACTCTCCCCGTCCTTCATTAAAAAACAGAATCAGAATGTTGAATTGATACAGTCACGAAAGCTAGGCAATTGAGATACAGTATGTTATGTCAAAAGAATTAAAAAAGAAAATGGAATTAAGTATTGTATAAAAATTCCTAAGCTGTGATTTATTATTTGTTCAGTGTCCCTGTCTTTATTCTGTCACCCGACATGACAAAAGGAAGCAGGAACATTCTAACACAAGCAAGCGTATCCTTGGACTGTTAACAGCTTTAACCACTTGAAGATTGCACCACCATGAAGCAAGCACAACACTGGAGAATTTTTCCCCCATACGAATTCTGGGGGCAAATAGATGGAAACAACAACAAACATCAACCCTCGGAAAGTCAGACTTGTCTATGAGCACCCAATGTACTTGCTCTGTTTTTTATTCATGACGCTGATTAGCAAAGAATTTGGTGGGCTGCACCAGCATATTAGCACAGGAAGGACTGTCTCGAACTAATATAACTCTCTGTTGATTAGAAGTAATTCATGTGAAATTATATATAGAGAATGAATTAAAATGAGAGCCAAAGGTTACAGGTCACTTGTTGATAAAAAGAACTACTGGGGCAATCCAGCATGCAGGGATACTTGAAGCTACTGGGAGGGCTAATGGGTTGTCGGAAGAAGAGAAAGACGAAAACCGTGCTATAAAAACATTCATAAATTAAAATATGTATGAGTGTGTGTGTGTGTGTGTGATGTACCAGGAGATGGATACAAAGAGAGAAAGAGAGAAGTGAGGACCTCTTTGAGCTGGGTGGCATAAAGTTCTTGCGCTAGGACTTTCTCACCGAACAGCGAAACAGCCTCTTTGACGGAACGGAATGGGGCTCTCGTATCAATCTCCGCCTTCTTCATCAACATCACTCCGTCTTCCTTGTTCATTGTCGATGCTACTGCTCGTGTGAATGTCCTTTTCTCGGTGTTGGTGTGAGACAGAGAAAGGTTGGTGACAAGCGTGAGTTCCTGGGATTGAAAAAAGAAATACCGAGGTTTGAGAGATTAATATGAAAGAAGAGCTTCGTTTCTTGGCGTCCACTTCACTAGAATTCTGTTGAATAAAAAGGCCGTGGATGCTGATGCCTGATGCTGTGGTAGTCTTTGTCGGACATAAATGAAATGGACTTTCAGTTAAACCTAATTGGACCCGGGCATGTAATTCCTCAGCAGGACGCGAGTCCTAAAAATTGCAAAAGTTGCATAGGGATGGAACTTTTTAGTGTCCGTTGCTTCTAAGAGTGAAAATGCCTCTGCTGTCGGGTGCTGCTGATTTACACAGCGGATTAATTCCCAACTTTGACTGGAAAAGTAACAAATAATTAACGAGTTATTGCATGAAATGTAAGGTGGTAGATGGATCAGCTATGTGGGGAACCAATCATGAGAATGTACAATATGATGAAGGGCAGAATGGAGACATTTTAGGATGATGGTAGAGTGGAGGCTAAAATCAGAGATGGTGCAGCATTTGGGACGGGTGGAGTTGGGGTGTAGGATATGACCGGGAGAAAAGAATAAGTGCGGAGTGTGGGTAATTAAACAGAGTGAGAACAAAAAAAAGGATTTGAAGAGGGATACTTTGCGTGGAGGGAGATTGATTACTGACATAAGCTAATAAGATACGGCCATGTCATCGTTCGTCTCTTATTTTATATTCGGGAATGGATTATGGAGTGAGCCGCACTTCTTTAATCTGGGCCTTCGCTTCATTCCGTTCCTGCTCAGTCCTCGCTTGGTCGGCTTTGGAAACTCACATCTGCCTTTCATTTTCACCCCTTGCCATCATCATCAACGTTCCAATACCGCCGTCTCAATCTATATATTCCACCATCCTCTTTACTCCCATAAAATATAAAAGTAGTAACACCAAGCTCTATCCTTTGTGATAACTTTAGCAGTTTATTTTCTTTTCAAGCTCCGCGCAAAGTTCAAAAGACACCTATATTTTCTCTTGAAATGCACCCCAATCATATAGCTCTCCACTAGTCTGATGTAAAGAGCAGCATATACGTATATAAGATTTTTAAAAGCAGACAGAATGTTATTCTTGTAGAATTGAATGAATATGTATTCAATATACATTATAAACATGTTAATCTCATAATCACAGCACTTCATCTCATTGAAAAGCATCAATACATCCAAAATAACGATACATGCTCTTTCATTCTAATGACGGATCATAAGTACTCCCTCCGTTCCTTATTATAAGAGACATTTGATGCTTATGGCATGTTCCTATATATAAGAGACACTTACAAGTTGTCTCTACTTTTTTGTGTTGATTTACTATTTTACCCATATTTATTATCTCCAACTCACACTCTCTCTCCCTCCCACTTCTCTTTCTTTTAATAATTTAATTATTCTCTCTCATGCTCTCTCTCCTTATTAATGAGGGCATTTTTGGAAAAAAGTTATACTTTTTACACATTAATTGTTCTTAACTAATTTTAACTGTTTTTTTTATCAACGTACTTCGGTTATTTGTCTCTTATAATAAGGAACGGAGGGAGTAGTAGTTACCAAACAATGAAAAAAGAAACGTGGGTTGGAGATGTGCTTGATTGGTCATTGGCGTAGAACAAAAGGAATTTCTATTACAGAGCATATTTCAACTTGTTAATATTATTTTATTACTCAGTGACTAGTTAAGAGTCAACGTACGATCTTAAACTACAAAAATTTCCATTTACATTTGTTTTTTCTTTTTTCCCCCATAAATGGCTCATCATCCCATTTCACCCACGGGTGTCGGTCAGAGCATCTGATCACATCCAGACAAAGCAGAGATGTTGGGGGGACAGTGTTGTCCGCCCCAAACCCCAAACTCCAACTTGACGGGAGCTTCGGCTTCATTACCTGGGCAGTGCTGCGACCAAAAAAAAAAACAAGAAGAAGAAAACTAAAAAAATTGAACGGTCCGCTACCGACCCCTTAAAAGTTCGATAACATTCGCCTTCACTCTCCCTAACCAGTAACTACTACTATGCTCTTCTTCTTCTTCGTTAAACCTTACATTCATCATACAAAGCATCCGCTACAATGTCTGTCGCTGCCATCTCTTCCCCTCCCCTGGCTGTTGGATCCTTTCTTCCACGATCTCCGTGGCGAACTGGGCCTCGATTCTCCATGGCCCTTCGATCTGATGCGGTCTCTGTTGCTCGCCTCCTGACCAAACTCAGACATGATTGTGCCACTCCTTTGCCTGTTCTTCAGCGCGTGGCCGACGCTATGTCACTTGCTATGCGGACCGGCCTTGCCGCCGATGGTGCCTCTGGCCTCCCCATGATACCCACCTATGTTCACAATCTTCCCACTGGGTATCTTCCTCTCTAAGCCTCTCCCTATATTTCAGTGCCCCCATAGTCTTTATTTCTTTATCTCTTTATCTCCTTCAATTGTTAATTAAAATGTTGCTTATTCTGAAAGGACTGAGAAAGGATTGTTTTATGCTTTGGATGTCGGTGGATCAAACTTCCGTGTGCTGAGATTGCAATTGGGTGGAAAGGAAGATCGAGTGATTTCCACAGAATTTGATCAAGTATCCATACCTCAGAAGCTCATGTCTTGTACCTCTGAGGTCGGCCTTTGACGTTGTTCCTGCGTAAATGTTTGCTTATTTGTTTTGTGCCTTTCCGTAATGGAAATATCTGAGAGCACCTGCTGCTGCAGGAGCTTTTCGACTTCATTGCTTTAGGGTTGGCAAAATTTGCGCAGAAGCAGGGTGATGAGTTTCACATCACACCGGGAAGAAAGAGGGAAGTTGGATTCACCTTTTCATTTCCTGTGAAGCAGACATCCATTGATTCTGGCATTTTGATCAAGTGGACCAAGGGTTTCGCAGTCTCTGGAACAGTATGCATTTCTTTTGTAAACCACCAATGTTAATTATTGTCTGTAATTTGGCGGTGCATTGTTTATTAGGTCAGTTCCTGACCTTAATTTGTCAATATGCTTGAGGATTTTTCTTTTGAATGCTCATTAGTACTCAACAATGCTTGAGCATAAGTTTTTTGAGTAAAATTATAATGCCATGGTCTTGAAAACACCAACGGATGTGTGTGAGTACGCTGACTCCATGATGGATTCCAACGTTGCTTGCTGGAGATATAGGGGGAGTAAAGGGATTCCTGGGCGGACAAGATGTGAACTGAAAACTAGTGGTAAAAGTTGAACCTGATTTCAGACTATGAAGAACGTGGCCTAATAGGAGCAATTAATATTGTAATTGGCTTTATGTAATGGTTGCAGAAATATATTTATCCAATACTAGCATGATGGAGAAAAGCTTGAACTCTTTACAGGCAGGAAGAGACGTGGTTGCTTGTCTAAACGAGGCTATGGAAAGGCAAGGACTAGACATGCGAGTTTCTGCTTTGGTACGTTATTCTTGTGCTTATCTTATGTAAACAGTTGCAATGATATGAGATTCTAGTTGATATCAAATAGGTGAATGATGCTGTGGGAACATTAGCTGGAGCAGTGTACTGGGACAATGATGTCACAGCTGCTGTCATTTTGGGTACTGGAACCAATGCTTGCTACATTGAGCAGATCGATGCCATTCCTAAGTTAAAGGGCTATCACTCTCCCTCTGGCCGAATGGTTAGTACCTTAATTACATTACATTCTTTATATGCTTTTCCAATATATTTTAATCTGACAAAAACATACCTTAATCCAGATCATCAGTACTGAATGGGGGGCTTTCTCAAATGGTCTCCCTTTAACTGAATACGATCGAGATATGGATGCAGCTAGCATCAATCCTGGTGAGCAGGTAAATCATACAACGATCTTCCGGTTTAACCTCAGTGTTGGCAGAGCAGCAATGAGAACGTTATCTCTTCATACTTAATGAACAGATTTTCGAGAAGACAATCTCAGGAATGTATCTAGGTGAAATTGCAAGAAGAGTGCTGTTGAAAATGGCTCAAGTGGGCGGTTTGTTTGGAAATTCTGTGCCACAAAAACTATCCAAGCCTTTTATAATTGGGTAACGATTGAATTTGCTGCAGTTAAGATTTAGAGTTAGATCATAGATTGATAAAGTTTTTTTTTTGGTTATTCTGCATTCATAGTTTTTACCTTTTCTTTGCATCTCTGTCTTGTTTGGGTTACACTCTATGTATTTGAATGAATCCAATAGGACCCCAGATCTATGTGCAATGCAGCGGGACCAATCGGATGATCTACAAGCTGTTGGATCGATCCTCTACGACATAGCAGGGGTAACTCGCAGTCTTGCTGACAAGTGACAATAGCAATTGTTATTGGATGTTCTCAATTTCCATAACCTTCTTCCCTTTTTTCAGATTGAGTCCGATATATATGCAAGGAAGACCGTTGTAGAGGTTTGTGACACTATTACAGAGCGTGGTGGGCGCTTAGCTGGTGCTGGAATTGTGGGGATTCTGTCTAAAATGGAACAGGATTCCAAAGGCATCGTCTTCGGGAAGAGAGCAGTTGTGGCTGTGGATGGGGGCTTATACGAAAATTATCCTCAATACAGAGCATACTTAAGAGACTCTGTCACGGAGCTTCTAGGAATTGAGAACTCTAACAATTTGGTAATAGAACATTCCAAAGATGGATCTGGCATAGGGGCTGCTCTTCTGGCTGCTTCAAATTCCATGTACAAGCACGATTCTTAGGAAAATGGATTTCGCTAATCTATCGTCAGCAGGGAACATATAGTACAGAGCAATAAATCAGTGTACTCCTCCGGTCCTAATTATAAGACCCAATTGACTTATTTGAGAATATTAAGGAAGTAAGTTAAGTTGGTTATTTATAATAAATAAGTGTTGTCATTCCTAAAATATCCTTGTTAATTAAGTATATTGGCTAAAACTATCATTATTAGAAGGATTATCTTGGAAAAAAATGCATAAATATAAGAGAGAAAATGGATTGGGTCTTATAATTAGGACCAAATAAAAAGTCAAATTGAGTCTTATAATAAGGACCGGAGGAGTATTATTTTTGAATTCTAGTCTAATTTAATATTTTAGATAAAACTTTGCATCTTGCTGCTTCGCCCATGCGCCTGAGGTTCTCTACTAGCATGAAAATGAAGCTTCTATACGATCCCACTGACGTGGAGAAGCCTAGGAGGAGTGTGATCTTTCTCGTATCTAGTCATTTAAATGTTACGAAAACGGAAGACATTCAACATTGAAACGTTGAATAAGTAAAATAGTAATCATCCGGGAAAAAAAAAAAAATCAATGCACCGGCGACAAGATTATCATGTACGCTCTAACGTGATAAAATTCTTAATTCTGAATTAAAATTTAATTACTACCTTCGGTCCTAATTATAAAATCTCATTTGTAATTTACAAATGAGATCATATAAATAGGGCCGGAGGTAGTATTAAATTTTTGTTAAAATTAATTAAATTTAGATGTTTTGCTTTTGTATTTTTCCCAAACAATGAAAATATGGCAATATATAAAGTTTTATTTTGATATCTTAATTTTATAAGACATACTTTCAGTACTTTCATATTATCATTAGTTTTAATTACAAAAATTGTAACATTAAAATTTTAAATATTAAAAAAAATCTTGCATAGTGACAACAAATTAAGTCTTATTTTTAAAATAATAATAATAGGTGCAGAAAACTACCATTTAAAAAAGCTAACAGTATTGGGGTTAAATGATTGAAAAAACATTTTAAAAAAAATAGAATCTCATATAAAGTTAGATGATCAAATGTGTGTATTTAAAAATGTTGTTTGTTAAAGATTATTAAAAGAAGTTCTTGCCCCCTTGGATTTTCATTGAAGATTTAATATGAAAACTTGAGAAACTATGCACTGATGTTTATACATGGATTTAATATTTTTTTGTATATTGATGAAAATTGAACGAATCACGCCACATGATAGCATAACTTGATATAACTTTTACATTTTAAATTGATATATTGACATTTATCACTATTGAAACTGAACGCAGCCATGTACATGTGGATGAATGGGCTAAAATTAAGTCTCACCAAATATTTATGTTGTAATCATAATTATTAATAATAATTGCCGCATTATTCAAGATATTCTTGAAGAGTGGGGTCAAGAAAGAACAGCGAAATGATGTTTTTGTCAGCGTAGGTATTGGACGGTGATGTTTATAATTTATAATTCAGAGGCAATACTGGTGTCGGGACCCCCTCCGTTTTCTGATGATGATGATGATGGGCAACTTGAAGTTTCAATACACACACAAAATATTAATCCATGTCATTTGTAGCACAACACACGATCAAATACAACAAGAACAACTGAAATTAATTACGAAAACACACACACACACACTCGCATCGTGCATGGTTATTGATTTTGTAGGGTAGAAGTACTGTGGGAGAACGGAGAAGGACAGGCACACGGTACACACAGTGGAAAGAGAGCGCTTGAGCTCGAATATTTATTGAAGACAAGAGAGTTCTATTATATATAGAAGCTCGGAGCAGGTAACGATGAAGCTGAGGGAGTCGCGTATATAATAATCAAGGGCACTTGCGCCTGCCGCCGTGGGTGGTCATGTTGTAATAGCAGGGACACACTTCTTGGTTGCCGGCAGTGCCCGGTGGGACGCAGTTGCATCGCCGGCAGCAAGTCCCGCACGCCCTCTTGCACATCCTCTGCCGAGACGCTAAACGACACCTCGCACTGCATGCTCCTTTGCAGTCTGAAATTGATTCCCACACCACAACATATATCATGCCATCATCCTACACTGCTATTATTCTCTTCAACCAAACTCACAGAAGCACTTACCTATCTGCTGAAGCACGGATCCCGGCGTCTGCATAACGCTTTCCTGTACTGCTTGATCGGCGTCGACGAGGTCATGGAGAAGGAGAAGAGAGAGGAGAAGAGATGCCAGTAGAAGCTTTGAGAGAGCCATGGGTGAAATGCTCGTTTATGGTTGAGTGTGCGGAGAATGAGGGAAGCGGGTTGGCTATTTATAGGAGCAGCGGAGGAGGGAGTGCGGGTACATCACTATTCGCTTTGTTACTGTGGGACAAGAACCACTGGGATGGAGTGTAGGCGGAAGAAAAATGAAATTGGAAAGAGGTGGCAGTGACTGGTGAGGGAACATTTGGTAGCCAAAATCGGCTTTGGAAGCATCCAGAGGCAAAGCTGATAATAACTGATATACTTTTCTTTACGTGGTGGATGCCATCAAGTATCTAGAACGTCTTCCCATTTGCTCCTTCTCACAGTATCTCTCAGTTTCTGTTTTGAACAATGCGACACCTTGCATCCGTATCAATCATTAGACTCTACTCTTAAAAACGTTATCATCGATTTTGAACCAACCAACTGCCTACAACTCAAGAAGTTAGGCAGGCACGGTACTGATGATTGCCTTTGGCTGCCTCGGCCCTTTGATCGGGGCAAGCCATGGCATATTATTGTTGTTGATTATTAACAAATTATGTGGCACTTACTAATAACACACGTACGGAGAAGTTAAAGATGACATGGCTGGAGCAGGTGGGGATGAGCATGCCAAATGAGGGCGGTGCTTCGGCTTGAAGCTAAGGCTCAAAAGGGTAAATGAATATGATGAGACAGGAAGACAGACATCTTGCGGCGAGATAGGCTTTGCAAGAGCTGCTGAAAGCGAATGGATCAGACGGATGCAATGGAGGAGGACTGTGTTAAGAATAATGCGTTTTTGTGGAGGAGGAAGCCCACCATGGCGCTGCCACAGCTGTCGTTTGCTCATACATACCAAATATTCCAGGACAGAGCAGGCCGAGCTGGACTTAGAGGACGACTCATCAGCCAACCACATTAAGAATGCAACCTAGGCTTTCCTAGAGTGTTAGATCCTAATCATATTCATATTACTTGAAAATGAAAGCGTGTCAATCCAGTTCCACGTCATCATGTCCTGCAATTAACATTGGTGCTAAAGGCGCAAATAATTGTGTGTTAGTTTCCGATCCAAAAAAATTAAAAATTGTGTTGGTTTGCCGAGAAGCCATTGGGATTAAGGGGAAAGGTTACTGGCTCCTGGAATCGGGATCAGAGTGGGGGTCCGTGTTTGTCTGTGATTGGCCGTCACGCTCACCTCGAAAACAACCAATAATGGAAAACCAAGTGGGTTCTCGCGGTGTCAGTGAATTCCTTCAATCAATGCTTGGCCGAGGCTGATGTGCCAAAAGCATCCCCCTCCCTGTTATATTGGTGGTACAATGCAAGCTCGCCCCGTTACTAACTCTCTAAAATTTAATTTTACTGTTTAAAATTTAAAACCAATAATTTTAGCCCTTGAAATTTCAAACAAATAATTTCAATTCTTAAAATTTAATCTTATTTTGGGTTTAACCTTGTTTTAAGAATAAAAAATTTTAATCAGATCAGAATAAGATTAAATTTCAAGAAAAAGACTAATAGTTTTCAATCTTAAGAATTGAAATAAAAACAAAGTCAAATTTAAAAAATTATTGGTTTTAAATTTTAAAGAGAAGGACTAAAATGATGTAAAATTTTAAAGACTAAAAATAGTATTAACTTTTATTTTATAAATAATGTTGGAGATCATTATATTCAAAGTTGAGTTCGTGCACTCCTTGATTTTAAGAATCAGGATTAAATCTTCTGTATATTAATAATATACAATAACACATTTAATTAAACTTTGTTTCAAAAAAAAAACTATCCACGGCAGTATGATACAAATATATTCGTACAAAATGAGTAAAAAAAAAAAGACTCTCACAAAATTTGAAATTTAAAATAATGCAGATAACGTGAGGCGAAGAAATGATTTTTTTTTTTTTCCAGTTCCGAAATCTCCCACATTACTCTGTAATCAACAGTTGGCTCGTCTACAAGAAATAGGAAACTCGTCTAAATGTTTGGGAGTCGAAACCACGTACGAGAATGAGAGAAAAGCTAGCGAGAGTGCAACAATTTGCGTTGCGAGTCAACATATATGAGCTTGCAGAGAATCGTCGTTAAAAACGCTGATTCGCCAGACCGGCGGAATCATTAATCACAATCATAATCATTGCGAACACCAAGCTGATTTTCAATAAAATAACGTTAAGTCTGGTAAGATATTCAGTCTGGAATATGATTTACCTGGTAACTTTCAATGTATTTTACATAAATCAACCAAAAAAAAATCTTAAACTTTATTAACTCTAATTTAAAATTCAACAATTTTTTAACTTTATTTATATTTAATACATATTATACCTCATATAAATAAAGTTAACACACTTTCAAGCATCAAGAGTGAGATTAAATCATTTTTGTCGTTTTTTTTTGCCAAATTTTTTTCCTTTTTAAAAACACTTATTTTAATATTATGTGTGTCCTATTAAAATTTACAAGTTTAATCTGCTCTAACGTTTAATAGAAGTAATTACTTAGTGTTCAGAAAAATGTTTACTTGTTATATCAGAAGTATCATAAATATGGTAATATTGTCGCAGAAAGCATAAAACATAAAAGAATAGTACAAATTTGAGTGCACCGGACGATCATAAACTAATAATCTGCCTTTCTCTTCCAAAGAAATTCCCGCCAACGAACGTAAAATGAAAAAGGAACGTAATTTTTTAACCATGAACACAGAACATTACTGATTCGCAGTTGTCAAAGGGATTGAGCACCAAATTATAAAGTTTTTTGCTACAACCAAATTATTTAGTAATACCGGTTAGCTCCGCCTGGCCTGAAGCAACGAATAAGTGAGTTGGGCTGCTAAAAATCAGCCCCACTGGTCCACATATTCAGTGGGCTGAAACGTGGGGCCCTTTTTTTTAACATCTCCGCCTCCCCACCCCTTTCTCTCCGTTTTTTTTTTTGTGGTGGCTTTTGCGAAACACTTCTCCGTGATCCTAATTTCGTCGCGACCGACCCATCGTTCGTGGGTTCAACCGGTGAAAGGGTGAGACATATGACCAAGTTGGCATGTGTTCGATCCCTGAGGAGTACCACTTTGTTGTGGTTCCAGTCGCAGCACTTGGAGAGGCATTTTAGCTCTTGGGTGCCTAGGTAAACGCCTGAAGGTAATTGATGGCTCACCCTGCCCAATATTGGTATGACCTAGGAGGAAGGGAGATTTCGCCCTGCCTTTGGATCGTGGGTGAGCCCAACCCCTTTCCAAAAATTCTATACCAAAAAAAAAAAATCGTCGCCGACCGCTTTTTCATAATTGATCTCTCTCCCTCCCTCCCTCCTCGTTTATAAAAACATGTGAAATATGAAGTTGTGATTGTCAATTCTGGGGAGAATTCGGAATGGTATTCTTATTATTAGTTATGACTGCAGTGAATTGTGATTTATGTTAACGTTTTGACAATATGCTTTTCTGAAGTGCGATCGTGGATTATCTTAGCCTAATTTTCTATTTTTGGAAAAAATGGAATGGCTAGCTTGGCTTGTCTGCTTGTCCTTAATGAAAACTGCTAAAAGTAGAAGTAAAAAGTTTTTAATGTGAAACCGAGCATATATTTTCTTTTTTTGGTTACCTGGTATCCATTGAGCGTTCAAAAAAGAGCATGTGCATGTATACACATTTTCTTCTGGTCCTATTTATATGATAGGAAAAAAAAGAAGACATTTTTTAATCCTATTTATAGGATATTTAGGAAAAAAATTTGCAACAGACTAAAACCCAACGGCGGTGTACTTGAAGCCTGATAGAGTGATGGTGATAGGACATTGTTTTGGGCTAACTCGTAACGCTGAACTGATTAAAACCCAAGTCTCGCACTACATCGAACCAGCCCAAGCCATTTCAAACGTTAAAAACCTGAGAGTTGAGTGGTGAAATCCCGGGGTTCTGAATTCGGATTTCGGATTCACTTGCAAAACCCTCTGCTTCTCCCTCCTCCCTTTGCGCCTTTTATCCTCGTTTGATTTTCCTGAGAAATGCCTCCAGAAGATTCAACGGCCGTGAAGGTTGAGAATCAAGAAGAGGAAGAGGACAAGAAGAGTTTGGGTTCCAAAAAGGCCATCAAGGCCACGATTGCAAATGCGAAGCCCCACACCAAGACTGCAAAAGTGAAGAAGGAGGAACCTGAAGCAGATGATTCTCCAATACCCGTTAAGGCTGCTAGTTCCGCGTCTCGCTCCAAGCAACCTAAAGTCAAAAAGGAAGAGCCTGAAGACAGCGCCGACGACGATGACATTCCACTTGCCAAACGGAGCTCCACAGTGAGCCTCAAAAAGGTTTGTCGACCTTTCTCTTTTAAAACGCAAAAAGGGGCCTTAATCATCCTCTTAATTGTTCATCTTCCGTGCCCCCGCTAAGTGTAAAATATTTGCTCTGTATAATGGATGGAGTTCTATGTTCTAGTTCATCAAAGGTTTGTATCACCAAGCCAAATTAAAATTAATGGATGTGACTGTTTGGGGCAAAAGGAACCGAAGAAGAAGAATAAGATAAAAGAGGAAGGGAAGAAGAAAGGTGAGCCTGCTAGCGAGCAGAAGAAACAAAGGAAGGTCTACGATTTACCTGGGCAGAAACGGGATCCGCCGGAAGAGGTGTGCCGTTGCTTTCATGTTTTAGCTCATTCCAACTTTGTCGCGCAGAGGCTTGAGTGATGATTACTTTTTTTTTTTTTAATTACAAATATTTCAGAAAGACCCCCTGAGGATTTTTTACGAAACTCTGTACAAGCAAGCTCCCGATAGCGAAATGGCACAGCTGTGGTGAGCTTTTCTGCCCATCTCCATTTTTATAGCATGTTGAAAAATAAAAATTTAACTGTTGTGTTGGAGGTTGGAGGAAGCTATTTTGAATGCTTTGTTTCTTCTATTTTCTTCATCAGTTGAAAAGACTAATGATTTGTCTTTCGACTATGTGGGATAAAGGGGTAGCCTTTATGATTGGCCTTGGGTCCGCGGAGAATAACACTATAGAGTCAGTATGATAAGAGATTAAGAGCCTTTGAAACGCTTGCGTCTGTGAGTGAGGAGTAGGCATTTAGATGAATGACTAACAAACTTTGACAGAAGGATTATCATGCTTCGTGTAATTTGGTGATATGTTTGACCATCATTAAGCATATGCCTGGAATAAAGTATCATTGCAACTTTCAAAGCACATATCAGCATTTGTGAGCTAAATTTCATTGTAATAAGGTGATTTGATCCTTCACTTCTGCGGTGCTATGTTCACAGATATTAATAGGCCGCCATAGCTTGAGGCTCTACAGCATGGTTCTTGGTGCTATGCTACATGGTCTTGCAACTCTGTTGTAGCTCCTCTATAGTTGTAGCTCTTGAGCTACAGGACTATATGGTAACGACAGTCCTATACTTTGCATAGGCTGTCGTCGGAGATTCACTCAACCCATCCTTGACCTTGAGTGATTGATAGTTTATGATTCAGTATAGCTTAGCAGGGATTTGACTAGAAAAATTTGAATCTTCTGATGCCACTGGCCCCATCTCATTGAAAGATATTGACTTAAGCAATGAGTGATCAATTGGCAAGGCGGACAGCAAGCTAAAATACGAAACTCTTGATATAGTTGATGAACAATGAAAAACTCAAGATGAAGAGGAAATTGAGATTGCCTAGAATGATAAACATTGATGATGTTAGGATGTTTATATGTGATGAAGAGGAATTGATTTAGATATCTCAAGATAAAGCTCAGATTCAATAGACATTGATGGCTTTGATTATCTAAGTCCTTGTTAGGATTCTTAGCTGATATTGTGTTGTTATTTTCTTAATTATTTTTTTAATGTGAGTTTGGTTTTCAATACACATTTTATTTATCGGAAACTGTGTTGTTTATATATTTTAGTGCTGTGCTTTAATATAGCTGGCACAACACTTTGCACTATACACTACAGCATTTGGGAGGGTCTTGTGCTACAAGTGTTCTACCTATATCAATGTTTTGACCATGTTGATTATCTTAGTGACTTTCAAATCAAGGGTTAAATGGGCAGTGTGATCTCATGAGGTAAAAGCATTGGTCTAACTTTTCATATTTTCTTGCCAATCATGTTGGATTTGCATGTGTAATATGATACCCTTAATATTTCAATTCTTAGCCTAGCAATGGATTGATTTAAAATTCAGAGATCAGATCTATCTTTTCTTCATTGCTAGTATGGGAACCATGATTCTTGTGTTGTTGTTCCTATCTGATTAAGTAATTAGGTGAGTTCATGGCATTGGAGTTGTGATATGCTGAGTTTACATCCATCTGGACTCATCGCTAGCGATTCAACTGGCCCAATTTGATAGTTAAAAATAGTCTGGTTAGACACGAGCCCTTAATATATGAGACCGAATGTTTAAGTTTTCAAGTTTCACGTTCTTTATAAGTTTTCTTTTTTCTTTTTGGGGTTTTGTGGGGTTTCTTGTTGTATTTATTTAATATATTTGTTTTAAATTTGTCTAGAGTTATTCATTGAAGAATTATTGAAGTAATGCATTCTGAACTTCAGAAGAAATTTGTAGATATTCTCATTACCTGATGGCATAAAAAATGACTAATATTACCCGAAGACCAAGTTTGCTGCAATTTTACGTCTTTGAATCTTCAGCTTCAGTTACTTCTGCAATTTTTGTTTGAAATTTCAATTATTATACCAAAGTTGTAGATCTTATCTACCATAGATATTAAGGAATGTAAGATGATTATATGCGAATGGTTCCTTAATGCGCGTTTGAAATTGGATGAAGGGGAAGACGCTGTTTGACTGTTACCCTAGCTAGTAATGCAAGATATCTCCCGCAAGTGTGCTTCTTTTATCGTTTCTTTTCTTTGTTTTTAGGGAGAGTAGTCCACAAGGTTATCCTTTACTAGCTTCTGGATAATTAATTTGTTTTGCCGGTATAACGCTTGGAATGAACAGTGCCCTTAATGGATATGTATCGGTGCTGTTGCTCAGTGTAGTTGATCTGAACGGTTTCTTGTTGAAACTTTTGATATCTATCTTATGGTATAGTTGCTACTATTGTGGGAGAGGAAAAAGGACCATAATAATAGAGTGTAACTGCAGGATGATGGAATCTGGTTTGCTTCCTGAGGAATTGGCAATGAAAGTGTATGAAAAGAAGCAAAAGAAAGGTTTGCAGAGCAAGTTGAGTTCGCCATTGAAGGCAGCAACTTCAGTGAAGAGCCGCAGCCAATCCGTAACAGTGAAGAAGAAAACACGATCCACCCCTGTGCCTTGTGTAGTAAATAAGAAAGCGGCCTCCACACAGAAGCAATCCAAGAAGCGGAAAGTGAAGGATGACTCTGACACTGACTCTGACTCCGCCGACGAGCTTATATTACCCAGAGCCAAGAAAAGGAAACAGGCCTAGTTGTTCCGGTAATTGGCATGTTGACGAAACTTTTCTCTTACATTCGATTTAAATCTTAGACAATTGTAATGTGATTGACACTATGGTTTTATATCTGCGAATGGGGTTGACCACTTTCTTAGATAAATCTCTCCATGCGGCAGTCAGGAAAATTTTAAAATAAATAAAATATGATTCTTTTTAATTAATTAATTATCTAACCTAAATGTTAAGTAAAGTACTAACTTTGGGTTTAATATAAGAATTAGTTGGGTAATTTAAAGAGAATAAGAAAATTAGTTAATATAATTATTTGTAATAAATAGGTATTATTTTTTTTAAAATATCTTTATTAATCAAGTATATTATTAGCTAAAATAATTATTATTATAAGCATTATTTTTGAAAAAAATAGGTAAATATGAGAGATAAAGTAGATTAAGATTTTATATTTAAGAGCAAAATAAAAGTCAAATAAGATATTGTATTAAAGACTGGAGGTAGTACTTATAGATAATGTAATTTATAATTGGTTTTAATCATATATGATGGATTTTGTGATGTTAAACTAAATAAGTAACATTAGAGTTCCAAGAATTGAACCGGCTAGTGGTAGGTTTGGTCTAGGCATTAAACCAGTCAAGAGTTGTACCGGTATTGAATTGGTAGAAATTGTTGTGAGCCGGTTTAAATGATTATGTTGTTATTGGTCTTTTTTTTTCCATTTAGCTTCTAATATTTCAATCACTATAAATTTTAATAAATTTTAGTAATAATCTTGATACCAATGATTATTAATTTTAATTATTGATGAATTGTAAAAATCAAAATTTTTAATATTATTATATTTTGTTATTGTTACAATCAAACTATTGTTATATTTTTTTATATTTTGTTAGTAGTGATTATTAATGTTGTTATTTTTCATTATTTTAATTAAATTATTATATTTTAATATGACTGGTTTGACCTGGTCTGACTCCTGAATTACCATCTCAAGTGATTTAATGTCTATCTAGTACTCCCTCCGTTCCTTATTATAAGAGACAAATAACCGAAGTACGTTGATCAAAAAAACAGTTAAAGTTAGTTAAGAACAATTAATGTATAAAAAGTATAATTTTTTTTCCAAAATGCCCTCATTAATAAGGAGAGAGAGCATGAGAGAGAACAATTAAATTATTAAAAGAAAGAGAAGTGGAAGGGAGAGAGAGTGTGAGTTGGAGATAATAAATATGGGTAAAATAGTAAATCAACACAAAAATAGAGACAACTTGTAAGTGTCTCTTATATATAGGAACATGGCATAAGCATCAAGTGTCTCTTATAATAAGGAACGGAGGGAGTAGTATTTTGTTTCTTGGATTTCAATGTCCTGCTGCTTCAACAGCCGCCGTTAGGGCTTTAAGAGGGTGCTGTATGGGGATTGCGCGGCATCTGCATTCTCTCGTTTTCTTGGAAGTCATTAAGTCAATACGTTTGTTTTCTGTCTTTCTTTGTTTGGTTTGGTATATAATTTAATTTGACTTACTAATAAATAAAGCATTCTTTGTTATTTGTTGATTTGAAGTTTTAGTTTGGGAAACTTAAATTTCATAATTTCTGATTACCAGGTTAATATGTATATTTTGAAACGTATGATGGTTTTGAAAATTTAAAATGAAATAAAAATATTTTTCAAAGCTAAATATTAATTTAAAGGAAAAATTTTGTGGTGTTTTAAACTTTTGTTCGAGGTTCTCCTAATCTCCTCTGATGGATTCATATATAATTTTTTTAATTAATGTAAAATATAGCTGCTTCTTTTTAGTTGTGTTCATCAATTTATCAACTTCTTCGAAATTTATGTGACCTACGAAACCTTAAGATGTGTATCTATACTTCTCTGTCAAGCGAGTACCAATTTCACGAAGATTATTTCAGCCAGTAAGAATTTCGTCATTAATTCAAGAAGTTATAAATTTAAATGCCGCCGCAAATGTGAGAATTTTTTAAATGTACGATTTATAAACATCGACGTAAATATTGATGAGCTTTCAAGTTTTAGTTCAGCTAAATTTTCACATGTCCAATAAAACGCAACACCAGTTTGAATATATACTAGTTGTTAGTTTATCACTATCACGTGGTATAGTATGATGGCATAAAACAAGTTAGTTAATCAAAAAATCAGTTCATTACAAAATTAAAAAAAGTAATGAATCCTTTAAACATTTTAAGCATAAGTGTGAAGACAAGCCACGTGTATGAATATATAACAAGTCATAAATTATACTCCTCCGGTCCTTAATATAAGACCCATTTAACTAATTTGATTAGATTAAGAAAGTTAGGTAAGCTAGTTAATTATAATAAATATGACATGTTTTTCCTAAAACACCATAATCATCTTTTCAATACCTCCCCTTCATCTTCTACTTGATTATGGCTGAGGAAGTATCCATAAAGGTAATTTAGAAAGTATTAATAAGTATGAGAAATAGGTCTTATATTTAGGACCAAAACCAACTCAATAATTAGGTCCTACATTAAGAACCAGAGGAGTATATTGTTGCGACAATTTACGAGTTGAATATTTGCACTCTTTTCTTGAGTGCGAGAGCATCACATGAGTACAAGAATATATGCAATTCTGCTTTGCAAATTCGAACGACAAAGACAAATACAAAGTAACGAGATGGGTGCATATCCTTTGTACGGTATGTATGGTCGTCATATCGTATCATTTAGTCAATGCGTACATAGTCTATTTTTCCTCAAGTGTAGTGCATTGTAGCTTTTTCCCCGCTATATTATGAAGGGGAAATCATTTATTGATATTTCAATTCTTAAAAAGACCCCTCTAATTCCTTTTTTAAAAAAAAGAAATAAGAAAAAGGTATTATTTTATTTATACAATCAATGATCATCAATACATGAGATTTGGCGTCCATATGGCATTTTGTTTGTTAAGGGGTCCAAACGTGCAAAATTGCCGAGAAATCAGCACAAAGATTGGGCTCGTATGGGTGGCATGAGATCATCGGTGTAGGAATTGGGATTACAAAAGATATCACGCTAACTAAAAATTCTGGGCGCATAAAACCTAAGACAGGAATATTTGAACAAACTCGTGTCTTTCTAACAAAACCACTTTTGAAATTTTAATCCTGTGATCCGCTAGTAGTTTTTATCACTTATCATTATTTTATTTGGCCTCGGTGACCAAAATTGAGCGCGCACTCTTCCTCTCATCCACCACAAGCAATTTCCCTATATTTTCGCTCGATTTCAAAGTTGATATCCATTTTAGGCAGCTCATCATTCCAATCACATAAATCACTTCCCTAATTTCCCTTCTTCGTTTGTTTGACCAGCGAATATTACTGGGTAATTATTTTTGTTGAACTGATGAAATTTCAGTTTAACGCTGATGATAGCTTCCCATGTCACCACGCTTTACCTCCTTCTCTGAACAATCTGTGGTTCATGAAGACGATAAATGAGCAAATAAAATATCCTAACAACCAGACTAATTATTATTAACATAAACAAACAAAACAAGTTATATAGATGTTGAATAAAAACCATTAAACCATGGAAGCACGGATAAAACAGAATGGGAAGAAGAGTTCGAGTGAGGCCTCAAGGGCTCGATCGAATATAAAAAGGTAAATGTGCTACTTACGGATATTCACACACTGAGTGAATATATATATATACTCATCAGTCCATCTAATTGTTAAGTTAGTTCTGGTCCTAAATATAAGAATTATTTTTCATATTTATTAATTTTTTTAAATTATATATATGTGTGTAAAAGAAAAGTTAAAAAGAAAGAGGAAATGAAAGAGGCGGTACTTGGTTAGCAACAGAAGGAACGAGGATTGATGCGAGAATGGAAGAAAAAGAATTCGGGGTCTGAGAGTCCAAGGATCCAAGTGGACGCAGAAGAGGCTTTACCATATAAAGCTCTATATAAACCCTAGTGAGCCTCAATCTTTCCCTCCTTGACACGTGTCAGATGATTCCGCCTCGCCCTGTTTTCCCCTTTCCTTTTTTATTTTTAGTTTTGCGACTCTCTTCGTCTCCTTCCCTCCCTCACCCTACCACCAACACATCACTCCCCCTTTTTCTCTCTCATCTCAACCCTCTCATCCAATCCCCTCCCCCTCCCTTCCCCTCTCTCCGTATTATCTATCCCAGAGTGCTCTGAAGCTCCTCTGTGTCTGCGGATACTTGGACCAGCTCTGGATTGCGAGCGACAGAGCAAAACAACGCATTGGCAATTCCCCTCGATTCCCAACTCTGCCTCACCATGTTAACTCCCGAGGAGATTCAAGTTCTTGAAATCCTTGCTCGCCTGCCGCAACTAGTCTTTGAATCTGAGGTCCCTTCTCTGTTACCATCCGCCTGGGGCTGTAGGAGGAGGAGATCTGCAATTGACCTTCCCTCTTATCAGTCCCATTCTCTCCGTCTCCGTCTTCGAGTGTCTAAAACGCCGTCGCCGTCGCATCCCGCTACTAAAGATGGTGTTGCTCAGACATCCGACACCGATAGTTTACCGGTGGTCAAGGCTAATGCTCCTAGTCCTGCTACCCCTCTTTCGTTTTCTCCCAGCGAATCTGACGAGAAGCCCGTCGTCTTGAAAAAGAAACAATCCCGGAAAAGGGTATGTTTTGCTGCCTTGCTCTCGTCTTTTCACCTTCATTAATTATCTCACTCTGCTCTCTTATGGCTTCTTCGTGAGTTTTTCCTCCTCTGTTTGCTCTGATGTAACGGGATTTTGCCGTTCCTGTGCTTTCGATTCTTCGAATGCCTTTTTTTTTTTTTAACAAAAAAACTGTTTTATATAATTATGTATAATAATTTACTTATGCTTATACATCTCGTCGTTATCCAATTTTTGAACTTTTGTTGTTATTAAAATCTGTAGAAGAGAGACGACCTTTTGAGGACGATAGAAGAATTGACGAAAAGCAAACAATTGCTTCTAGGGGTAAGTTTTTTCCCCGTCATTTACTCTGCCCGGAGTGACAGACGTGGCGTTTAGTTTTAGTTCTAAAAGATAGGTGCCGTATCTGGTTTTCTTGCTTACTGTTTGATCTGTGAAATTCAAACAGGAGATAGATAATGTGAAACGTTATCACGACGATCTGAAAGCCCACA